CTCAAAAATTATCGCAAAACTAGATCCGAAGAACGTAAAAAAAAACTCAGATCTCTAAGTAATTACATGAAAATCCTTGTTCGACGTAAACATCGTGAATACCTTCACAAAATCCAAGGTTCCTTCAGTGAAAATCCTAAATTATTTTGGAACTATCATAAAGCAGTATTACATCATCGCTCAGGGGTTGTCTCTATTATTACGAGTAATGAAATAACAGCCAAGACACCAGCAGAGAAAGCTGAACTATTTAACACGTACTTTTGCTCTGTTTTTACTTCACCCAGCGCAGTGTCCAGTTTGCCCTCTTCCCCCATAAGATCGGATATAGAAATCTCTGATATAGAGCTAACAGTGGAAGAAGTGTCAGCTTGTACGTTTGTCTAGTTTAGACACATCTAAAGCCACCGGTCCTGACGGGATACCCGCACGCATCCTAAAGGAATGTAGCACGGAAATCGCACCAAGTCTTTGTACTTTGTTCAATCACTCTCTACGCATTGGGCGTTTCCCTGCAGAATGGAAAAATGCCGACGTAACACCAGTCCATAAGAAGGATAATAAAGAACCTGCTGAAAATTACAGACCTATCTCTTTATTGCCGATAGTAAGCAAGGTGATGGAACGGTGCGTCTGTAACAGGTTCTATTCCCATGTCTCACACCTAATTACTTCGCTTCAGCACGGTTTTATGCGTAATCGATCATGTGTAACACAGCTTCTGTCTGTTCTCCACTCCATTGGAAAATCACTTGACCAAAACACTCAAACAGACATTTTATACTTGGATTTTGCTAAGGCTTTTGACTGTGTAGACCATGTTATTCTCATAGAAATTAAACTTAAATGGTATGGCGTAACGGGGAATCTTCTTAACTGGTTTACTGACTATCTTAGCGATAGATCGCAGAGAGTTGCGATAGAGGGTGTAGCTTCTCGGTACCTACCCGTTACTTCTGGTGTTCCCCAGGGAAGCATTGTAGGACCTCTGCTGTTTGTTATTTTTATCAATGACCTACCTGATATTATCCAGGAACAGACAAGAACCGGCCTCTTCGCAGATGACACCAAGTTGTACCGATCAGTAAAATCCCCTAGCGACTGTGAAAGTTTGCAGCATGATATTTCGAACTTGAACAATTGGAGTCATAACTCTAACATGAAATTTAACGCCTCCAAGTGTTTAGGTATTAACAATAACTCGAAAAAAATCACCTGTAATTACTGACTATCGTCTGGGTAATGTAATTTTACAACGCGCTCACCAAGAAAAAGATCTGGGAATTACCGTCAAAAGCAACTTATCCTGGGATTCCAGTCACATTTTCTCAATCGTCAGTAAAGCCAACAAGATGCTTGGTATCTTAAAGAGAACTTGTCCCCTGATTAGAGATACTAAAGTTAGGCGAACTTATACCTGACTTTGGTAAAATCAAAGTTGTGCTACGCAACGGAGGTGTGGTCCCCAGCTAATGTGAAGCTACAAGTTGCATTAGAAAGAGTTCAAAGGCGCGCTACACGTTGGGTCCTCAAAAGTAAAGTTGGAGAAATGTCTTATGAAGATAGACTGAAAACTCTCAATTTATTGCCACTAACTTACGATCGAGAAATCAGAGATCTTGTTCTGGTCTATAAATGTATTTTCGGCCACACTGATTTGAACATTGAACATTTTGTGTCATTTATACATCATAATCGAACTCGTACTCAGAATCCATCTCTAATGTTAAAATCTCCTTACTGTAGAACATCCACTTTCCAAGGATCGTTCTTTAACCGAATAGTTAAAACTTGGAATAATGTTGGAAAAATAGCCTCTCCTGAAAAGTTCGCCAGTTTAACAACTTTTAAAAGCTTTCTGCATGTGACATACACCGCATTGGTCAACAGTACTTTTAATGTTGATATGGCATGCACTTGGTCGCTCACAAGAGACTGCCCCTGCCACCGTTCTTAATATGCATGTTATGTAATATATATTTGTATATAGTGAATTAGGTTGGGTTTGTTTTTGGGGGGGGTTTCCTTCTTTTTTGGAGGGGTGCGCCTAGCATGGGTCTCGTTGTCCCGTTTGCGCTATCCCCTTTGGACTTATTATTATTATTATTATTATTAAATTGAAACCACATTGCAGCCAGAAGCTGAATTGCGTGGATTACATATTATCACATGCACTACATATAAATATATTATTAATAAATATTATAAAAACCCACCCACGATCAAAATTCGATTAAAATAAGCATAAAATCTATCCTACAAACTTCCTACACATAGCAGGGATAAAAGAGTTATAAAAGCGGTTCGTGCGTGTAACGTACATATTAAAATACCGATTCGTCCTGAAAGAATAATCAGTCTCGTTCTTCGGGGGCAGCAGATGATGAAGTTTATGCATTGGATCCTTGATGATACTCGTAAAGAGTTTGTCACACATGTCCTCTCTTCTTTGAAATATAGTAGGCAGTCTAAAATACTCAAGGGCCTCACAATATGTCATTTCAGGAGATAAAATTTTTAGCACACGTTTCTGGACAGTCTCAAGTTCGTCTGCCAAATACTTTGGGATGGAATGATGGAAGGCTTGCGCACAATACTCGAGCACAGGCCTGATCACTGTACAATAAAAGTTCAAGACATCATTGACATTTACGCTTGCCCGTTTCAATAATACTATAAAATAGAGGCGTTTATTAGCTTTCTTTATACTCTCTCTGATGTTATCTTTCCACTGAAGTGTGCCTGTCATAACAAGACCCAATATTTTTGCACTCTCAACTATAGGCAATGCTTCTCCACCCACCAGTACAGGATCAAAAGGTTGTTTAATTTTTTTAAAATCGATTCTCAGTTCTTTACATTTCTCAGTGTTAAGAGATAGCCCATTTGCCTTCGACCAATCTTCCACAACATCAACTGCGACTTGAACACGGCTCTCTGTGTCCTTACTAACTACTTCAGCAACTGTTGTGTCATCAACAAACTTCCACCTCGATATATCACAAATATCAAGATCGTTTATCATTAAACAAAATAGCCAGGGCCCTAATTTTGTACCTTGAGGGATACCGGAAAGTACATCTCCCCACTCCGAATAACAGTCATTGGATAATTTCACTCTCTGCTTTCGATTCATCAAAAAATCGATTGTCCAGCGAGCAACTTAAACTTGTAATTAAAATGTTTCTACTATATTTGCCCAATAAAGCTGATAAATAAATTGTCAAAAGCCGTATGAAAAATTATGGGATTTCGTCTATAATATTGCATCTTCTGTTTGGCGAAATGGGCTTTCCGTTTTGAAAACAACGGCCTTTCTTGTTTATCCGCCACACTTCTATAAATACAACTGTAATAAACATTGTCATTTGACCCTGGAAACGGTCAATTTTGAACAGCCCAACGCCACAAAATAGAAATAGGCAGAAGCTTCACTCGAGTCGGAACCTTTAAAGTTTTGTGCCGGCACATGTTACTTCCGGATCTTGGCCGCCATGTTGAAAGCAACCAACTCGGTTTTCACTTGTTTCCATCTACCAAACTGACATTACGTCATTTGATCAATTTCTAAAGTTGTTTCTTTTTGGATTTTTTAATTAATTTGGTTAGGGTTAGGGTTAGAGTTAGGGTTGCGGTTAGGGTTAGGGGTTAGAGTAGGGGTAGAATTTGGGCTAGTTACATAGCCATTTAACACCCCTTCAATCTTCCGAAAATGACGTCATGTCAGCTTGGTGGTTGGAAACAAGTGCTGACCAACCAACTCTGGTCCAAAACATTATAAACTAATATGGCGAAACTTGTATTTCATAACTTTAAATTGGTATATCGTCGTTATTTTATGGTGGATGTCATTGAATTTTTCAGGACGTACTAAAGAAAGGTAGATTATTAGTTTTATTATAATAAAAGCTTATTGAATGATGCTAAAATTGTCATTTTAAACGCATTGCAAACTGTATGTCAGTATGTGCTGTTTTGGCACCGATGGATATATGCGCATTATGTTATTTTTCTGAGTGTAGTTTGAAACTATTGCAACTATTATTCCACTTAACTTGAAGAAAAATGCGTCATGTCTTGTTTTTAGAACGCAGTAGGTTGAATTTTTTAAATTTTAGGCGCATATTATACTGAGAATATCCTTATAATTCGTACTACTATATTTCGTACTAAATTATATACCTGATCACAGGCGGCCCAGACGTGTATCAGTGTATAGTAAATATATCATTATAAAATATACTAAACAATAAAATTTGTAATGAATTTTATATTTTAAAATCATATTTACTTGCCTACTTTGATTGTATGTGATCGTCTTTTATTTCTGAGCGACTTTACATTCG